TTTGAGTTTTTCATTTCTGCTTGCGTGCTGGGTTGAATGGATACGGCCGGTCGGTTTTGATCAGTAAAATAGATTAACACCCAAACTCTGCTGTTAGCGGTTACTGTTCAAGTCCTTAGGGATACGAAAAACAATTTTCGCCACCCAAGCGTTACCAAAGAAAAAAAAGATAAAAAGTAAAAGAAAATTAATTGGAAAATTAATGAATGTTATTAAAACGTAAATATAGAAAACTAATAAAATATTCCAAAATATACCCCAAATTACACACCACTAGATTTAATTTTTCAAAAAACTGCCACAGGCTAGTGTAATACTTTTTACAAAACTTCTGAATTATTCCTGCGTGTGGTTTTTGCAGAGTCGAAATTGCTGACGTTTCGACAATCATCCTGTTGGCTTCTTTCAGTTTCAGTCAAGCTCTGAAAACCGACGCAGGAGGAATCCAGAAGTTTTGTAAACAACAGCAACACTGACAGTGGATTACGAATCAGAAGTACCTGGAAAATGGATTACAGACTTATTAATCTTAATCCTAGTTTGTTTAAACTTTGCTTTGCCTCTTTGTTGCAGTATTCAGCAGCAGATAATTCAGCAAAAGGTTTTGCAATTGTACCTAGAATAGCTTTAATGATTTAATTGAGCTTTGCGCAAACGTTGTAAATGAATGTGAGGAAAACAATTAGCACATTGGGTTAGAAATATTCCGATAGTCTTCAGTCCTTCTAGAGCAGTATGCGTGAACTAGGAGTTCAAAGAAAAAAAGGCAATGTATCTACGCCATGTGTAAGCATCTGCAAACCTCTGGGTCTTTTTGCTCAAACTGCAAGTATGTAGTGAACTGCTAAAGGACAACTTCTACGTATGTGACTGCCAGTAATACCACAGATTTCCAATGATTACTCTTTCTAATTAAAAAGGCTAATATAGTGTAAACCATTGAATTAGTTTAATCAAAGGGAATGATAACAAGCGAAAATTATGAATGAAATAACTTCTGCCTTGTCAATGCAATGAATAAACTTGTGCTTACTATTCATTCATCGGGTTAATAGAAATTTTGTTTGTAATTTGTAATTTGAAGTTATTCCGGTTGCCTTAGTTACTATTACAATGACCAATTGATTTCCAAAATTGCTACTTAAAGTAAAATGTTTCCCGCCAAATGAAAAACATTTTCAGTTTCGAAGTCCGGTTTATATACTTTAGCTTTCGTATTGCAAATGCCACAAAGGTAAAATGCACGTCCCTGCCTCCACAAAAAAAGGTGAAAAAATTAATAATTACGGCCACCATAACGTCGAAAGGTTTGCGGCGCATATTCCCAATAATGGTCCATTAGGCAAAAAACACAAGAACGCAATCAGCCCTAATTCAGGCATCGAAGGGCCACCCTTTCACTCGGCCCGATGGAAATTGCAAGGTGATGTCTTATATATTATATAATAGAGAGGACCGTAAAACGTAACAGGGTTTTCGTTTCAAAACGCCAATGATATATTCCTCCGTCATTAGTCATCATTTCTCAATTACGGTAATTAGACCAGTCGGGTCCGAGCTCTCTCCACGGATATCAGGTATTGTCGAAAGGGATTTTGGTTTCATGGCCGCACAGCTACTCGGTACAATACGATCGTAAATTTTTCAAACGTGTCACTTATTTTCAACAAAATTTACCTATCTATGTGCCAGTGTACGCACGGTCATCCCCCTTTTTGAGGAAAAAATTTTGTATCCCCTGTTTCCCCTGAAAAGTCTAGAAACAGACAAATTTTCTGCTGCAACAACACCGTTTACAAACATATCGACAAACGATTTAAGTAAACCAATGAGCTTTACTGGTGGATCTGTGGTGGTCTTTTCGACATCATCGAACTATATAGAGTCATCCCTCTTCTGACATAATGTCAAAAAAATTTATAAAAAAAGTGAATACCTAGAGAACATTGGAATCTCGTTTCATTTCTATTTACCTCCAGGCTATAAAAGGAGAGCAATGTGGGGATTACAATGAATACAGCAGCCATATAACACCTACTGACACTGCTCCTGGAGGAGAGCGTCGTTTGCGAAATTGTGTAATCGTAGGTGGATGTCCATGGCAAAGTTTCGCTAAGAAGTGAACCTGCTAACCAGAGATGAATTGGCTCAGAAGAAAATTAAATAATGTATGTAACATTTGAAAGGAGATGAAAACGTTACAAAAGATTCCACGGCCTAGTTGATGGTAAAGATTACTTTATAAAACTGTAACCGTAATATTCCACAAAGCGTATTTTTTTATGTCGCACACTAGAATTATACTAACCATAAATTTGATTTTAGTCAACCTACCATTTATTCTATTTTCGCCTATTACGGCCAATAATATTTCGTTAAGTACGGTCGACATCAGTGGAACTCACGGTAGCAAAAGATTAATTGTCGATAAAACCAGGCACCTGAATTTGAAACAGTAATTAATTTCACGTTAAGAAAAGTTGGAAATAATTAAAAAGCGTGCCGGAAACAAGTCGAAAATTCGTTTATAATTTCGTAGTCACGAGCTTTGACGATTACCCTAGTTTCTGTCCCGGATCCGATTTAACTTTTGATTAATTTTTATCGGTTCCCGTGTTACAATCAATATGTGCGATAAGTCTAGACGTATTGTTCGCATTAACCATTTCCTCAATTTTTTCAAACTGCGAGCATTGAATTTGCAATCCGCTTTCAGGTTAAAATTTAATAACTGCAATGCGATTTGTCAGTGGGGGTTTTTGCGAGTTTGAATTATTAGCACGACATAACGTGCCCGCGCGATGTATCAGTATCTGGTGCACTACACCCCTCAGGTGTAGTAATATTGTAATATTTAATTTTAATTTTATTACCTCTTTCTTGATGGATTGGTTTTGGCACCAATGGAAATGCCGTGGGATTGACCTATAGCAATTACTTTAGTTACTTTCGAAAAATCGATGAAATCGAAGTTTTCAAAAGTATACGCGCTTGGTTATGAAAATCATATCTCGGAAACGGAACGTCGTACAGCCTTGCCATTGGTACAGATGGAATCAGCGTCCAAAAAAAAGTTTTTATATTTTTTGTCTGTCCGTTCTCCGTTCTTTGTCGACGCTTTATAAAAACGCAAATATCTTTGAAGCCGTTGGAGCTACGATGCTGAAATTTTTGTCCTTTTTTTGGCGACTTTCTGTTTTTCGTACACCTATATGTAACACGATAAGTGTCCGAAATTTGTGGCTACGAACTTCAAATTTGACGAACAAATAGTTTTTCGTTCCATGATGGAACCTATTAAAATTGGGGGTGCTGGGGGGTCGGGAAGTATTTTTAAAAATTTCAAAACCGAATTTGCAAGATTTCGAGAAAAAATCATTCCTCAAAAACGGTATATACGATCGAGCTGTGAAAGGGCTGTGATTCAGCTGCCAGTTTCTTTCACACTACCATATAGTACGTATCGATAGGTAAAACTTTTGTAATTTAGGTGTTGGGGATATTTTGTGTTATATTCAAAAATGTAATAAGTGTGAAAAATTTCAAATTATCCACTCCAAGTTTAACAGAGAAGTGAAAGTCCATACTCACATCTAAACCGTATTTGTCAAGTATTTTTTAAAATTTTGGAAAATTTTGTTTTTGTTATTTTGATTTCCAGTAAGAACAAAATTTCTGGAAAATTATTAATTTGATCGGCAAAATTGATCGGAAGATCCGGTACTATAACTTTTATTTCAAGTATTTTTTCGATTATGCACAGGATTTTTCAAGATTCTTAAAAAATTGTTTTAAACGGTATCGTATACCGCATCAAGAGTTAGAATTTTTGTATTCCAGATATTTGGAACAACCCAAATGAAAATCGCCATTTTTCGATGACGTCATGCATTGTTTAAAAAAATATATATTTTCTCGAAACCCATTTACTCTATTGGAAAAATTCATATACCGGAAAACCTGAGAGATCGAGAGCTATATTTCGAATATTGTTTGAGTTATATACAAGGTGTGTCGTTTATAGGGGGTGTGGGTAAATTATTGGCGATAAAAGAAAAACTGTTAAAGGTGGAATAATTTTATTTGAACAGAAGTGTAAACTGTGTCTAGAAATATTTGAAAAAATATCGTTTCAAATCCCAATTACCAGTACATATTTTAATATTTACCAAAGCTGCCGTAACTTTGAAGTTCAGCGAGAAGTGAAAGACACTGTATATAGGGTGTACGCACAATAAAATTACATCGATCTTGCGAAAGTTTCATAGTGGTCGGCAGGAGCACTATAGAAAACCAATAGGTCCTTCTAGCACAAACAGCCTTTAAAATACAAAGCATTGAAAGGTGTATTCGACTTTTTCGTATTTGGGCTAATTGGGATAACTAACATCTGTTTCCTTTTGTTATAATATCCTTGTGGGTCCTGAAGGGCTCTTGTGACTAGTGGCGCCTGTTGTGCCATATTACTTAAGTAAAACATTTCAAATACTATAAAATAACGAAAAGATCGATTAATTTATCATATCCCACAAATAACAATGTCAAAACTAAAACAACATGCTTTATATTTAGTCACCAATGATTTTGGGGCCTGCGGATAGCAGCGGAACATGTTTTTAATGAGTTTATTAAGCAAATGTCTAAAGAAATTTAGCACCATATGTAATGGGAAGCACAAAAACAACTTTTTTAAAGAAAACCGAAGATAAGATGAGAAGAGATAAACGAAAAAAATGAAATACCTGGAAAAAGCGGAAATAACCAAACATTAAAACAAGTGTCATTCGAATTACTTTCGGCAGAAACTGAAATAATGAATGTATGATATTGATGATCAGCAAAAACGACTGCGACAGTAGCATCCGGATGCATCCGAATATTCTGGTGACGCGAGCTTTAAATATTAACTAAACTAACCAACACCATGTTAAAAAAAAACATATATTTATGATCTGCAAAATAACATTTTTATTCTCTTAAGTTACTACAATTACCGCCCACCTGGATGTACCATCATAGTGTTGATATGTAAGGGCGTATCTCAAAAATTGTGATGAAATGTCGCATTTCAAATAGCAGCATTTTGTAAAGGACGAAGAATTGCCTAAAAAATGTAATTTATTAACAAATATCTTCAAATAAGGTCAGGAATAAATAAAAAAAAATTATTATAATTATCTATAAAAAGTTTTCAAAAATCGATTATTGTTTGCAACAGATTAATCTATAAGTCGAGAACTAATTTATAATATTGAACTCTTGTCAATATATTTCCCACATAATAGTATTTTTTGGAATTTCCTCTTCTGCATTTGACTCTTTTAAATTTGGATGTACACGTCCAGTTCTATCGTACAACGCTTACCTTGCCGACGCTTGCAGTGGGTTTTTGAATTGTCCCCGGCTTCAATAATTAAACATGCCGTTGCAAAAGTTATTTCAGGAATTAATTAGCGCTTTCAATTAGTCTGGCCATAGTTGAACACGAACAGGACCAGAAGCAGTAAATGCGACAGAGCTTTCCAACTAGAGCTACTTAACATATTAGACCGTTTAAGGGCTTCGGATCAAAGCTCAACGTAATACAAGGACACTTTACAATCCATCCCCATTCCAGCGTGTAGTTCAGCTTTCTCCATTATGGAGCGGGGCATTCACGCGATTTTTGTTTTGGATTTTCCGCCAGCTGGTAGGTAGGAGAATGCTAATTACAGAGTTCGTTGTTATTCCTCTAAACCGGATTTTTTTGCGTGGAATTTTGTTTTCATTCAAGTATGCGTAAAGAAAAAGCCACTGTTATCTCCAAGAACGCTGTTTGAGTGAAATCAATCCTTCAGCATTTTATCCTGATTCCCTTGGAACAGCCCTAACGTTCCACAATATAAATATGGCAAAGCGGTTGCTCATGGAAATTCTCGACTTTTGCTGTTGATTTTTCCCTTAAGTGTAAGTGGATTAGGGCCTTATTGTTTTAGATTTATGTTCGGAGATTTTGTGCAGAATAAGAGAATTAAAGGGATTTGGGGGTAAATCCATTTAAAAGTTCGAAATAGGATTGAAAATATTTTACGAAAATAATATAATCTCTAGCGACGGGTAGATTTGAATTTAAGCAAGCCTCGAGGCAAAAATTGTTGGATGGCTCATTTACATTTAAAATAATTCTCAGTTTTCGGACCACCCTTACTAAAAGGATTTAAAAGGTCGCCCATTAAGGAAATCTTTTGTTGGTCCCCGAATGCAATTGTTAAAAGCTTTTCTTATTATTGTTACATTTATTTTCAAAATTCTTTACGTTATGAAGGGACCTAATAGTCCATATAACACGTTTCTATTAAGAAAATATTAATTCATACGACTTACATAAGTTAATAACCATAATCGTATAATTTTCTTTATGCTAATGATAACTTCGAGCCACTAAAGTAATATAAGAATAAGACGCTTTCATTATCTGAAACATAATAATAAGTTTTTGTTGAAATAACGTTGAAATATGTACGATTCAAATTACAAAAATAAATTTTGATGTATTCCAGAATCTTGACTAACTTACCGTCAAAGCTGACTGTGTAGTCATAGCATCAAACGGTCCTACAGTTAGTGTCAGAGCTCTGTTGGTTCGCATCATTATTAAAAGAACCATTTTTCTTACCCTTACATTCTCTTCGTACCAAGGGCTTCCGTAAACGGCATCAGTTAGATCAAGGCTCTAAAATCACAGCCATGTTTAACACGTTGCTGCAAAAATTTGAAAGGGCTTTAAAGTACGCACCTGAACCTTTACCTCGTTTGCACTCCACCCTAACATAAAGGTTAGAGTAACGAAGAGGACGCAGTAAAATATTGGAAAAGCGAGGAACATATTTCGCTGAGACTGAAATATTATTAAATCAGATAATTGAGACGCTTCCATAATCTAGACTGAATATCAAGAATGATATCCCGCATTTATCGATAACAATTTCTTTTTAGCTATAGAATTTTTTTTAGTCGGGCATAGGCAAAACCAATATATAAAATGATAAGCTCCATATTGTGTGGTTTAAAATTTTTTGGTCAGATGTTTGCGGTACTATTTGTATTACTACTACTATGTTTTTTCTAGAAACTTAAAACACATACATATCCCACCTACCGTGATAAGCTGAACGCAAACTGAAGCCATATTAACAGAATTTAAAAGAAACTCCAGCAAAATCAGATATTTTACTGAATAATTCAGTTTTCCCACAAATCTGAAAGAAAATTGTATCGAAAATTTGTGAACTTCTTTATCTAACCGAGTATTATCCCCATGTACATCATGCGATCTTTCTTCTGCGCTAAACTAGGGATTAGATATTCCTCATAAACATACTTACGCAATAACATCCTGATGTTCTAGAATAAGTTTTCTCAGGAACTGCAACAAATTTGTTCGGGCTGCACTCATTTTCCTGAACTTGATTTGCAGCGACTTGAGGATCGAAGAAGCGAATATTATGCATGATATAAATACAACTTGGGTCGAAACAAACATAGATCCGGCTACTGTTACGCAGAAGTAATTCACTACCAGTAACAGCTTTGTATGCTTTTGGGTATCCGTTCCAAAGTAGTATAGTTGGTACGGAAATGGTTTCTCTAACGTAGTGTTATATATGCTGTTGTACTTTTCCGTCTGGTGTCTCTCCGAGGCGTTACCCAGAATAATTGATAACGCAACTCCAAAAGTAAAGTATGCTATAGCTAGGTTTGAAATTTGACAAAAATGCGATAGCTGCATATGGTTTTGTACAATTTCCGTGTCTTTCAATCTTAAAAGTTCCTTTTCAGTTACCAAAATGTAAGAAATAAGCGCCTTTAGGCGCTTGGTCTGGCATAGTATCACTTTAATTTGGATTATGGAGCAGTTTATGATAAACGCAAATGTCGTGAACAATTGTTCCGGGCTTATTCCGGCGTTCTTGTCAGCCTTGGTCATCGTAACAAATTGGATGGACATGGATGTTAGGAGAAGGAAAAAAAATATTTGCATAAATATGGAATACGTGAAGTACGTAGTTTGGATTAGCTGATTTTCTGAGATAGGAAATCGCCATATTCCAACCAGAACCATGCTGTACCTTGATAACTTTAAGATGCTCGACATTCTTGAGTTCTCCGTTCTTCTAGAATAAAAGACGCTATATGTTATGGAGATTAGAGAGAGCTTGATCAAACTTTCTTAATTTTGAAAATTAAGAAGGAACAATGTAAAAAAGATAATGGCACACTCTTTGTGACAAAATGACGCAATTTTCAAAAATGTGCATTTAAAAAAATACGAAAAAATATAAAAAGCATCTTTTTGAATTGAGTTTAATGGTACATTTATATTTTAATATTTAACAATAAAATAATTATCCATTTTATTCTATTTCATAAATGATTGAAAGCAACCCAAAAATTAGCACTCCAAAAATATAGCAAAAATGGCATTTTGATCGAGCTTTCTTCGAAAAAACGACCTTAGGTAGATTTGCTAGTGCTGTAGGTGTCTTTAAACTTTGTGTTGTATGTTGTATGTGTATCTTTATTTATTGTCCAGTTTGTTGGCATTTTCTTCTCAGACCCATTGCTTAGGTTCTGTCACAATGTTCAAAAGGTTGTTTTCTCTTGCTCTCTTGCTTGCTGCTTCCACATTCTTTCCGGCCTTCTTAAAACATACCTCAACGTAATGACATTCACCTATTTTATTCAAAGTTTAACTCGGTATTTCAAGTAGAACTCGTAGAAAATATCAAATGTACTATATTTTTGGAAAGGAAATTTTAATTTTTTTTTCGATATCCTGTGATTGAACAGTTAAATTATTAGTTTACCATAAATTCCTACTTAATTATAATAATACCCTGCAACTCTAAGGGATAGCAGAGCTTCATGTACGATTTTCACCACTATGTCATTAAGAATATTGAACTCAATACGCCGACATAAATTTTTTTCACCTTAATAAAAGGAAGGTCCCTTTCCAGTGCCAGAATATTTCAGAAGAAAGATTTTAACTAATATTATTAGAAGCCAAGGAACAGCATTGTTTTGTATGAATTCTTAACTTCTTATAAATCTGTATATATTATCTATCATAAGCAAATATATATTAGCTAAAACCACAAAGAAAAAACAAATTTTTATTTAAAGAAACACTTTTTTTGGAAAATATGAAAACTTTTTACCTTAACATACCTTCAAAGTGTGCCCATTTAGATTATTTCACCTCAATTAATTTAAAACGTTCAAAACTTATTCAATGTATTGGTACCGGTGCACCTCACAAATTAGTTAACTTTTAACATGGTTTTGCACATGTTGGTAGTTCACTCGTAAATTGTATATAGCTGTTACCTCCGGATTTGCAAATGTTTTATAAGATTTTTTCCAGTTGTGTTATCGAGTGTACTTTTTCCCTGCCCTGTAATTTGGTTTATGAAGGGTTTGCCGCACGACAATGTTTTGATATCCCGCCTTCACAGAAACGAAAATTACTCGATACCGTACTATCCTTATAATAAATTCGTTATTAGTGGGGGAAAACGATTTTTGCGCGAAATAGATTTTAAAATCTCTGTTTCCATGTAGGACTCGAACAATAAAATATCGATTCGGAAAAATATGAGATTTACCTATTTGTTCAATTGCCAAAATTTAGTAACTGAACCAAAATGGAATTGCGGACAATATTAAAATTGTGACTATAGGCGTTGGAATAAAATCATTCGGTGAATTAGTGAATTAAGGGTTTCATATACAATAATACATGTTGATGAAACAAGCGTCCCCACTATCTAAATTTACGCGTTGTATTTACCTCGAGATGACTGGTTTGTGAAATTAATAGATAGATAGATAAAATAGATAATGAAAATCTAAAATTTCATATATTTGTTGTAGGTATAAAGTATTAATATATAAGAACTAGGGACTCCATTTTTTCAGTTATAGAAGTAAGCCTTTTTGTTTTTTAACATTTCTCTCTCTTTTCTCTCTATCTATTTATCCCTATACTTATAGTAAAGAGTAGACCAAGGAAAAAGGAAAAGGAAAAAATATGTTTAGAGAGAATGAGAATAACAGAGCGAAAAGCATCTAAATCAGAGAGATTTACAAGCAGAGAGGCTTACTTCGATAGCTGAGAAAAGAGGGATCGCACTATTGATTCTGAGATAGAACGAATAAACAGTTGAGATATGCAATTTTTAGGTTACGAGGTTTATGCATCATGAGTATTCTAAAACATAATAAAAATTTAATCTACTTAGGAACAGTCGAATTTTCTTGAGGTGATAATTAAATTCAAATTTTATTGATGGACTTTTATTTTATTCGGTCCCTAAAAACAAATTTTCTAAGGCTTGGGTTCACATTTTTGTTAATTTCGATGAAACTAATACATTATTGTTGTATTGATCTTTCGTTTTGAAAAAAAAAATTACACAAACTACCAGAAAGGTACACGTCGTGATGTAAAGGCGACCTGAATATAACGTTAAAATTCCAATTATTTGACGAGTCGATCTCGATTTCCCGAACGCTACAAGTGCAAATCCTCTGAAAAATTCGTCGATTAAGGAGAGAAAAATTGGAACGCCCCTTCCGATAATGATAAGATCGGATGTCGAATGAATAAGCCAGGGTCTATTACATTGTCGCAGCAGGCACTCCGTGAGCGCGTTAAACCTTCCGAAGTAATTTCTTTTATTGTCTGTAATCCTCGACGAAAACGAGCATCGTAAAATAATGGAATGTGACGTCGATTTGCGAAAAAGTTTGGTCGCTTGGAATTAGTCGCCTGGCATTAGTCGCGTAAAGAATTTTTTTAAGTCCAGTTTTGAACCAAGTTAAAACTAACAAGTGTACTTACTTAGATTAGTTCTGTAAAAAAATCTAGCCGACGTCTGTTTTCGAAAAGAAAATATTTTAATTTCAATTGAATTCAATGTCTTTATTGGCAATTTAGGGGATAAAATAAAAGTATATAAAGACAGTTGTTGGCCTGATACAGCTTAGCTCGTCACCTAACCCCCCATAAAAATAAAGAATATCCATATAATTACCCGGACAAAGTAAGCTACCCATATATCGATAGATTCAATCGGGAAATAGACTATCTTCAATTTAACAGACAAATTCTCAAAAGACCTAGCTGATGGTCATACTTTAACAGTGCCAAAAATATCATTATACACTTTAATAGTGTGATAAGATCTCTGAGACACACAGGTATTGCGCTTAGGAATCAGGTACAACTATTGGTGCCGTGAATCAGGTTCATGGATGTTGGATCCTTGTATCAATTTGGTAAACAAATGAGAATGTTCTGCAAGCTTATTAATTTTGCAACATAAATTTGCAAGGTGGAGCTGATGTTTTCCAGAAAGGTTATTAGATTATTTCCCAGAATCAGGAATATTTTCTGAAGCCCTTTGCATTCGTATATATGTCCTTTTGCGAGTAGACTGTACTCGGACTATTAAAAAAAAATTAAAATAAATAAAAATAAATAAAAATTAAAAAAAATCGCTTAATAAAAACTATGCGATTTTTTATAAAAATATTTTCTTAAGCAGATGTTTATTTAAATAAAACCCAACAATGTATTTAGCTATAACACGAAAAATAACTAAACAAAAAAAAAGAAAAACACTAAATAAAAAATGATGGCATACAAAAATAATAAATCTTGAGGTTAGAGAAACAGAAATAAAATCTAAATTAATTTATAAACAATTATAAAAAACTTACATCTCATGGTAATAGTGTATAGCACCGTTCGAAGATGTCACCAATGTGTAGTCTAGGCTTACAGGTGCAAGTCTCAGAAGTATACCTAGTTTCCCGCCTGCTGCCTTGTACCATGTGCTATTTTATGTCTATCGTAGTTATTTATTTGTTCCACTATTTTTATTATTAGCCCATCGGTGAAAAAGAGCTTGAAAAAATCAATGGATTTTGTACAATCCCCAGAAGTAAACAGAATCCTGCCTTGTACCTGATCGTGGCATGTGACGTGCTGCCATGAACCAAAATTACCAGGTTGTGTTGTATTCTTGTTTTCTTCACTGCTGCTTAAACTTGATGGTAAAGGTATGGTTCTCCGTCTTTTAGTAACTGTAACAATAACAATCTATCATTTTTAAGCACGTCAATATAAAATTTCATATTGTAAAAATTTCTTGCGCATATCTTTTTTTTTTTCGAAATATAAAAATACACCAAAAGTGTTAGTTATAAAACTGAGTAATTTTCAAAATGCAAAAATGGTGCACATGTGAACTGAAGTGGTTGAAATATGTACATGAACATATATAAAATAAACACTAATAAAAGCAATTTAAAAATATTAGAAATGAGCTTAGGGGATGACAGACCGACCAACCAGCTGTAATGATAAGACTGGGTGTGCCGCGTATATACGACATACGAGTGCAAAGGTTAAACGTATTGCAGTGTATATATGGCGGCATACAAGCACAAAGCCTGTTCTTGACACTATACTTGCAGTTATGTCCGATTGTGCTGGTTATACTGAAACGTTCTCTACAGGCAATAAGTTCGAAATCGTTCCTCGAGATCACTGATTCTCTTTAATGTTCCAGTGTCACTATGTTTTTAATTTTGCCAACCTCTTAGAAATCTATACTGTCCTACGTCGTACATCTACGTCTCAAAAAATTCTTTGTAAAATTTAAAAAAAAATTGTTTTGGTTAGTTGAAATAATGAAATAATAATTTTCCCTTGAACAAATCCCCAATATTTCTGAAAAATACTTTATTTTCTAAAAATTTGTAGACAATATACTTGCAAAGCGAGCAATTAATTCTAAATTTTGTACCTGCTAAGAGTTTCGAAAACGAAAAAAGAAAGAAACTATAGTAAAATTTGCGATCGTCCTTCCATTCCTCTCGATTTAAAACCGACAGACGAATTCTCTAAAACACAACCAACCATCGTCGTAATAAAACTCGACCCCGCCGCAAATTCGGCGTAAGGGCCTCTCTTTCGCAATCCGTGTAACTAGAAAAGCTGAAGCCGCGCGTTCCGCCAGTTCCACTAACCACTGTCAAATTAGTTCAATAAGAAATAGTCCACGCATCACAGTCATTATTATCGGCAGATTGGGATTTGCATACTGGCAGCAGCAGATACGTGTCTTCATTTGTCGCCGCCGCTTTAAGGGGCACTTTGCTGACTCGCTCGGTTCGGTCGAACCACCCCCGCCCGTCCGTAATTAGAAGGTTGCAGATTTTCCTTTCTTATGTGTTTTTGATGTTGGTAAATGTGTTTACGGGGGTGAGTGCATCTCAAACGGAACCTGAAATAAATCTAGATCGCTCTCTTACTTTGCAAAGTTGCATAACTAACATAATTTGCAGATTTTCCTTTCTTATGTGTTTTTGACGTTGGTAAATGTGTTTACGGGGGTGAGTGCATCTCAAACGGAACCTGAAATACATCTAGATCGCTCTCTTACTTTGCAAAGTTGCATAACTAACATAACTTACATAAAGCGTCCGTTATTATTGAAGATAAAAAGGTGCCATTGTACACTACTGAATCACATTTTTGAAAAATCAGGTTTTGAATAATACATGTAGTTTTTGAGCAATGCTATATCGGAATATGCGTATGCGTTACAAATATTAGACTAGGTGCGATAAATTTGTAGGTATTATTGAATCAAAATAAATAAGAACTAAAAGTTCAGATTTTCACGAAATTATATATTATGACATGACAATTGTTTCGACAACACCGTGTCTTTATCAAATGTCACACGGTGTTGTCGAAACAATTGTCATGTCATAATATATAATTTCGTGAAAATCTGAACTTTTAGTTATTATTGATTTTGATAAATGGATTTTCATCAAGTAAAAGCCACCTCAGTTCAAGTATTACTGAATTATTAATTATAATACTATTATTTGATACTTTAGCTACAAGTTTGATTTGGCACGTGCGGAGCGCAGAGACGCGAGTTTTTAATAAACGGTGCAGTAGGGAAGCAGAAAAAAAGCATTTAATGTTTCATGTTTCCAAAAATTGGTTCTTGTATATATGTTAGTTTATGTAAGTGTATGGTTCCACAACTATATCCAACTTACCACTACCTTAAGTTTCCTGTGATGCAACTGGAATTCTTAATTATCATTTGGTCGTAATAAATATTTAAGTTATCAAAATCGGCAAAACATTTTTTTGGAAACTATGAACCTTGAAAAACAAGCATGCAGCAGGCACATGTTTATATGAAACTCGATCTATGCTAAAGTTGTGTATGTCCTTCCGTAAATATTAAAGCATATTGGGTCTCAAACAAACAAA